CTCATCCAAAAACAATCCCCAGCATATTCTGTTATCAGACACGACTGGAACTTCAAATGGGACTGGCTTCTATGGTCAGATGAAACTAAAAAATGAGCTTTTTAACAACAAACACTCAAGATGGGTTTGGTGCACACAGGGATAAAAAGTACCCCATGTGTACAATGAAATATACTGCTGTATTTTTAATGTTGTGGGCCTATATTTCTGCTGGAGGTCCTGGACATCTTGTTTAGATACATGGCATCTTTGATTCTATCAAATACCAGCCGATAAAACATCAGAAAGTGACTGACTCTGTTAGAAATCTTATAATGGGCCATGTTTGGATCTTCCAACCGGACAATAATCCAAAAACAAACCTTAAAAACATTTATGTCATAATGATATTTCCCCCCATTTTAAATTCTTATTCTCCAGTGAAAGGTTAGATTTATGTGATTTTTTTTAATAAAAGATCAAAAGGATTAACAATGCAGATTTATTTTCACAGCCTTCTTTGATCATATTTACCAAGGGTGCCGATAATTCTGACCAGGACTGTATATATATATACACACACACACACACACACACACACACACACACATAAAATAAAATAAAAATTATTAAAAAAATAAAATAATTTTTAGTTTTTATTTTTGCTAAAAATAAATAAATAAATAAATAACCTAAAGGCATTATTTGAAATAAATTAATACTGAATACATTAATTTATACCAACAAACCAAATCTTTATGGTTAAAATCATGTAAATGTTGCTGTTTAAGGTAAAAATTGCAGGTCACCGCACTTTTTACAGTGCAGGTTGTTCATTCATACGCTAATAATTGGCAAAGGAAAAAGATTTAGTGAGACACGCGCTGGAAATGTAAACAGACAGTTACGTAGCAAAGTCAGAATCAAATAATGAACAAATGTGGTGTGAGGAGCTTCGACATGTTCAATGACGGAGAAGGAGGGGGTCAGTTTGACGTCAGGCAGGAGAAATCATCTCCATAAATAAGAGGGAAAGAAAGCTACAGATGGAAGTAAGTGAGCAGCAGTCTCAAGAGAGCACAAGTTAACCTTCATCTCTTCCGATATGCCGAATTCAAGCAGCTCCACATCTTCCACAAAGAGCGTCCGGAGAGCTGCGTCTGAACTCGAGCGCTCCGATTCCATTACGGTAAGAGTCTTCAGCTACACTCATTCCTCTTAAATAGCGTTAGAATTAAGAATAACAATAAAAACAAAGAATAATTTGACATCTGTCCTCCTCGTCAATTTCGGAATCTTTTATTATAATAAAATGAAAACGCTTTTACGCATTAAATTTAATGGGAGTTTCGTCATGAAAAAAATATACTGATTATGACTACATTAATTAATTAATACAGAAAGTAATTAAATATGCCACATTTAAAAATGTATGAATTTTATTTCATTTTCTTTCTTGTTAAAAATTACATTTTTTTAATATAAAATAATGGCATAAGTATACAGATTTATACATTATGAATAAATAAATAAATAAATACAAAATGAGAATTAAAAACTACAGAGTGTCGTTCATGAAGTTAGTTCTGCATTGATTTGCAGGTGCCACTTAGTTTGATATTACACTCTAAAAAAAAAATGTTGGGATGTTTCAACCCAACTTTGGGTCAAATATGGACTAACCCAGCTGTTGGGTTACATTTTTTAATTAAATGTTTAACCCAAAAGTTGGGTTAGTCCATATTTGACCCAAGGTTGGGTTGAAACAACCCAGCATTTTTTAGAGTGTATGTAATGCAATTAAATGCATACATTTGAGTAATATTTTGTGAAATAACAACTTATTATTGAAAATGGTGTAGCATTTTTTATCACTGTTTTGCTGTGCGTAAATGGACTCTCCATTGAGATTTACGCACAGTATTACGCGGTGATCAAAAGCTACGGAAAGCAGTCTATAAGTGGCTGTAACATCGGCTCATAAGCAAATGATTAAGTCTGAGCTATATGACAGGTTTACATAGACTGCATTGAAGTTCTTATGCGCTTTTGGAGATGTAAAACACCTCCATCTGATGTCCAGAAGGTAAGCAGGGCTATATTATTATTATTTCTGTTCTAGATGGATATTTAAAATGGATCGAAAAAAATGTGTGGTCTTGAAACGAATCGCGCTCTTCTCTTCGAACAGTCGCAGAAGTTTGTGGGAAGGCGGCAGAGTTTGATCGAGGATGCGCGGAAGGAGCGCGAGGCGGCGGCCGCGGCGGCGGAGGCTGCGGGACTCAGCGAGCAGATCGTGTTTGAGTGCAGCGATTCCCCTGGGCACTTCAACTAAAAGAGCAGATTTCCTAAAAGAGCAAATCACGGTCGGTTCGCGTCTTTTTACAGACGCCGTTCTGGCTGTGTCCTCTTGGTTGCGGTTGTTTCCTCCAGCATCGGGCTGGAGGCGTGCACACCTCCCGGTCCCATGCCCTCGCGGCGGGATGATTGGTTCCTCGGCTCGGGTTGTGGCTCACGCCCACGCCCACGCCCTGCCCTGGTTCCTTTCTTCCCGGAGGTGCATGAGGATCTGATGAAGTCGTGGACAGCCCCTTTTTTCAACCAGAAACCACTCGTCTCCCTCCATTCTCACTACCCTTGATGGCGGGGTGGCTAGGGGGTACGTTGACATTCCCCAGGCGTCTGCCCTGTATGCCATAGCTATCCTGCGAGTACACCAAGCCAGGGCATTTAAATGCACGAGGGTAGTACCAACCAGAGGTGGCCAATCCTGGATCTGCGAGTCTCGAATCGGGCCCTTCTCAAGCTGCCTTTCAAGATGTTGATGCAGAAGCGCATCATCAGATGCCTCCAGCCCCAGGATTGGTTTGCAGCGGTCGACCTGAAGGATGCTTACTTTCATACCTCGATGTGCCCTCAACACAGGCAGTTCCTACAGTTTGCGCTCGAGGGTAAGGCATGGAAGTACAGGGTCCTCCCCTTCTGGCTGTCCCTGTCCCCCCGTGTCTTTACGAAGGTCACGGAGGGCGCCCTTGCCCCGCTACGGAAAGTGGGCATCGGGATCCTCAACTATCTCGAGCATGGCCTGTGTGCGAGAACAGTTGTGGGATCACAGGGACCTAGTGCTCCGGCACTCTGCCAGTTGGGGCTCCGGGTCAACTGGGAAAGGAGCAATCTCTCCCTTGCGCAGATAATCTCTTTTTCCAGTATGGAGTTAGACTCGGTGAGTATGGTGGCGCGTCTCGCCAACGAGCATGCCCAGTCCGTGCTGAACTGCCTGAGTTCCCTTAGAGGCAGGACAGTGGTACCACTGAAACACTTTCAGAGGCTCCTGGGGCATATGGCATCCGCATCCGCAGTCACGCCGCTCGGATTGCTGCATATGAGACCACTTCAGCACTGGTTACACTCCTGAGTCCCGAGGTGGGCATGGCGCCACGGTACAGTTCGCGTGACCGTCACGCCAACATGTTGCCGCTCATTCAGCCCCTGGACGGACCTTGTCTCTCTACGGGCCGGGGTGCCCTTAGAACAAGTGTCTCGGCATGTCATTGTCAGGACGGATGCCTCCAGTACGGGCTGGTGTGCTACATACAACGGGCAGGCAGCCTCGGGTTTCTGGACAGGGCCTCGACTACTTTGGCACATCAACTGCCTCGAGTTGCTGGCAGTGCTACTAGCCTTGCGTCGGTGACGGCCACTGCTGCAAGACAAGCACGTGTTGGTCCGCACAGACAACACTGCGGCGATTTCGTACATCAACCGGCAGGGAGGTCTACGATCACGTCACATGTCACAGCTTGCCCGCCATCTCCTCCTCTGGAGTCAGACGCGGCTCAAATCGCTGCATGCTGTCCACATTCCGGGGGAGCTCAGTCATGCAGCGGACCTCAGCACGGACGCACTGGCACACAGCGTGCTCTCTCAGGGGCTCGGCACCATTTGGCCCCCGCGTCCAGACTGTTGGAACCTCCACGGCAGACCTAGCTGATCTGTCACCTGCAGTGGTTAACACGATCACTCTACGAGGCAAGCCTATGCTCTGTCCCCCCCTGGTGCCCTCTTGGGACCTCTCTATTGTCCTGGCAGGACTTCAGAGGGGTCCCTTTGAGCCGCTGGATTCAGTCAAGCTTAAGTTTCTGTCTGCTAAGACAGCGCTCCTGACTGCGTTCACTTCCATCAAGAGGGTCGGGGACCTCCAAGCATTTCACAGACACTGTGCAAGGTCAGGGAGGATGAGGAGCAGGTCTTACTGGTTGCGCCTTCTGGCCCACCAGGACCTGGTTTCCGGAACTCATGCTCCTCGCGACAGCCCCTCCCTGGCGCATCCCCCTGAGACAGGACCTGCTCTCTCAGGGGCTCGGCACCATTTGGCCCCCGCGTCCAGACTGTTGGAACCTCCACGGCAGACCTAGCTGATCTGTCACCTGCAGTGGTTAACACGATCACTCTACGAGGCAAGCCTATGCTCTGTAATGGAGTCTGTTCGCGAACTGGTGTTCTTCTCGCCGAGAAGACCCCCGTAGATGCACGATTGGAGTAGTGCTTTCTTTCCTGCAAGAAAGGTTGGAGCGTAGGCTGTCACCCTCCACCTTGAAAGTGTATGTGGCTGCCATCGCATGCACGATCTCATCGTCAGGTTTCTGAGGGGTGCCAGAAGCTTAAATCCTCCTAGGCCACCCCTGGTGCCCTCTTGGGACCTCTCTATTGTCCTGGCAGGACTTCAGAGGGGTCCCTTTGAGCCGCTGGATTCAGTCAAGCTTAAGTTTCTGTCTGCTAAGACAGCGCTCCTGACTGCGTTCACTTCCATCAAGAGGGTCGGGGACCTCCAAGCATTTTCGGTGAGCGAAGAGTGCCTTGTGTTCAGGCCGGCCTACTCTCTGGATACGTGACCAAGGTTCCCACCACGCCTTTCCGCGATCAGGTGGTGAATCTACAAGCACTGCCCTTGGAGGAGGCAGATCCAGCCCTTGCGTTGCTGTGTCCCGTAAGAGCACTGCGCATATACGTGGACCGCACCCGGAGTTTTAGAAGCTCTGAGCAGCTCTTTGTCTGCTACGGAGGTCAGCAGAAAGGGAAGGCTGTCTCCAAACAGAGGTTGGCCCACTGGATAGTGGATGCCATCGCCTTGGCGTACCAATCCCAAGGCATGCCGTGCCCCCTGGGGGTGAGGGCTCACCCCATACGGAGTGTTGCCTCCTCCTATGCGCTGGCGCACGGCGCCTCTTTGGCAGACATCTGTAGAGCTGCGGGCTGGGCGACACCGAACACCTTCGCAAGATTCTACTGTCTCCGCGTTGAGCCAGTTTCTTCTCGTATGTTGGGTAACAGGTAATTGGCAGGAAGAGCTGGCCTGTGTCACGCTTGCTGCGCCATTCCCCCTCACCCGGGGATGCGAGCGCCTTTCTCCTCCTCCAGTAAGTTCCCCGTACGGCGAACCCTGGTGGAGTATCCTCCAGCACCCCCGGCAGTCAGACTGGGCGGAGCAGTCTGACGCCAGGCCCAGTATCGGTGTTAGCTTGCCCGGGTCTCCGGTCAGCCCCTGTACTGGGCTAGGTGTCCATATGGCTTGATCCCCTGCGGGCAATTCCATATGTGTATTCTTCCACGGTAAGGTTTCCCTCTTGGTAAACCCGTGTCTTCCCTTTGACAGAGTGTTCTGTCAGTCTCTGCTGGCAGTTGTTCCATCCCTACTCTCAGGTAGGACCTGCCTCAGAGACCCATTCCATATGTAGTACAGCCCCAGGCCTGGGTCAGTCCATTTGAGAATCTCCACATGTTACCTCCCTACGGGTAGGGTGTGGTCTCCGTAGCGCCCTTCTCCGGAAGGCTCGCTTCCCCATCGTTCTGCCTAAGCTGTAAACATCAAATCGGAAAGACTTGAAGCAAATCTTTCATTGAAGGTCAAAATCCCTTCTGTTAATAAATTTCTGTGGGAAAGGAACAGCGGCTTGGCTATCTCCAGCAGCGATGTATTCAACTGTGGTCCCTGTGGGTTTTCCAAATGTCAGCGAATTTGCGCTGGGGCGGTGGGAAGGTTACGACCTTTGCGTAGCGTTTGTCTGACACGCGGCCGCTTGCCAACATTGGCTACGCCATGGGGTTGTGACGGGGTTCAGGTTGTGGCACTTTCCAGGGCTCCATAATGTCGATCAAGACATAACTCGTAGTGACCGACAGATAGGGAACGTCTCGGTTACTGCGCCATTCCCCCTCACCCGGGAATGCGAGCACCTTTTCCTCCTCCAGGACGTTCCCTGGTCGGCGAACCCTGGTTGAGTATCCTCCAGCACCCCCGGCAGTCAGACTGGGAGGAGCAGTCTGACGCCAGGCCCAGTATTGGTGTTAGCTTGTCCGGGTCTCCGATCAGCCCCTGTACTGGGCTTGTTGTCCATATGGCTTGATTCCCTCTGGGCGATACAATATGTGTATTCTTCCATGGTAAGGTTTGCCTCTCGGTGAACCCATGTCTTCCCTTTGACAGACCACTCTGTCAGTCTCTGCTGGCAGCCGTTCCTCCCTACTCCTAGGTAGGACCTGCCTCAGAGACCCATTCCATATATAGTACTGCCCCAGTCCTGGGTCAGTCCATATCAGTGTCTCCACATGATACCTCCCAAGTAAACCACCCAAGGGCTCTCAAGTAAACCCCCTATGTCGTCACGACATAACGTCTCCGTTCCCTCCATCAGGGAACGAGGGTTACGTACATAACCGAGACGTACTCTTTCATAAGATGTGTAATAGCGCCTCCTTCCATATAACAGTGAAAACACAAAAAGCTGGAAAATTCTGTCACTGGTGGGGAAAGAGTTAAACAGCCTCAACATTTTTTTTATAACAATCACTTTTGATATTTTTGGTTCATTTTACAGGGATTTACTGACCCCGTTTACAGAAAACGACGGAAGATGATTGGAGACATTGCCTTCAAATACAAACAGTATGTTGTAACCGTGTTTACCATGCAGTATTTGCTTGTCTGGACATGTTGGCAGATATTTCATTGACAGCTGTCTCTTTTTCCAGAGGAGAACCGATTCCCAGAGTGGAGTATATGGAAGAGGAGATCGAAACATGGTGCGTTGTACTAAAATAAACAAACAATCCTTGACGAAACCCAGCCAGAGATTCTCACATTGTGTATTTCATTCAAGCTTCTCACATGCAACCTAATGTGTGTGCAGGCGTGAGGTTTACTCCACCCTCAGAGATCTGTACACCACCCATGCCTGTAGTGAACATTTAGAGGCTTTCCACTTACTGGAGAAACACTGTGGCTACAGTCCTGATAACATCCCTCAGCTGGAGGATGTGTCCCGCTTCTTAAAAGGTACCAATCCGATTATAGCACAGCCAGAAAACAGCACAACCCGTAAGTCATTCAACGTTCTATTTATTATAACAAATCATGTTTGTTACTAGAAATGTTCTTCAGTACTGCCAGTAACAGAAAAGTAACAGAAAATAGTAGCAGTATAATAAAACCTCATTTGACATTTGACAACATTTGAAAACCACCCAAAATACCTTAGCAACCACATATAACATCTTAGCAACCTCATACCCATGCCACAGCAACCACCCTTCAACTGTGTACCAACACCCTAGTAACCACCCAGAATATGCTAGCAACCACCTAGAACACCTTAGCAACCTTACAACCAATGCACAGCATCCACTCATCAACTACATACCAACACCCTAAGAACCACCTAGAACACCTGATAGCCATGCCACAGCGACCACTCACCAACTTTTTTCTACAGTACTACCCTGGCAACCACCCAGAACACCTTAGCAATGACATATAACACCTTAGCAACCTAATAGAACACCTTGGCAACCACCCAGAAAACTTAAGTAACTACCAAGCAACTACATACCAACAGCCTAGCTACTAATAGCCCTTACCAACCACCAAGAACATACACATAGCAACGCCATAGCAACCCATCCTGAAATTCTTAGGAACCATTTAAAACAGCCTAAGAACTGAATAGCAATGCAATAGTAATCGCTGAGAAAACCTGCAAAGCAATGTCAAACTAATCATCGAGAACACCCTAGCAACCACATACCAATACACTGGAAACCACCCTGAATACCCAAACAACCACCTATAGCACCTTAGCAGACCTGAAAGCTATACCACAGCAACTCAGCAACTTCATCCTACAGTAACAAACTGGCAACCATACATAACACCTTAGCAACCCCATATCATGCACTAGCAGCCACATTGTAATGCTGTAGCAACCACCTAGAACACCTGCATAGCAGTGTCATAGCAATCACCTAGAACACCCGAGCAACCACATAGCAACATCCTAGCAACCACTCAGAATGCCGTAGGAATGGTATAGCACTGCCATAGTAACCTCTCAGAACACCTGCATAGCAGTGTCATAGAAATCACCTAGAACACCCGAGCAACCACATGGCAACACCTTGGCAACCACCCAGAACACCCTAGCAACCACTTAGAACACCGTAGGAATGGTATAGCACTACCATAGTAACCACCTCAAAACACCAGCATAGCAACGTCATAGCAATCACCCTGGCAACTGCATAGCAACAGCCTGGCAACCATCTGGTAGTGAGTTGCTCTCTCTCTCTCTCTCTCTCTCTCTCTCTCTCTGTCCTGTATGAAGAGCGCACAGGTTTTCAGCTGCGTCCGGTGGCAGGTCTGCTCTCCGCTCGGGATTTTCTGGCCAGTCTGGCGTTCCGTGTGTTCCAGTGCACACAATACATACGGCATTCTTCCTCCCCCATGCACTCGCCCGAACCGTAAGACACTTCCTGTCCCACTGTTTACATTTATGAAGACACTTCCTGTTTATTATGCATTTGATTTACATCCAGACATCTGCTTAGTACAGTACATTCTGAAACACTGCAAACCACATAAAATAAAGGTGCTGAAATATATATACTGTATATAATGCAATTATGAAATGATAATAATAAGTGCTGTAACGAAGAAAATACACTTCGGAATACTTTTAAAAAGAGCACTTATTACAGAAGTAATATGCTTTAAAAGAGAATACTCAAGTGTGAACTGAATGCAATGTTTTTGAATATTTAATTGTGTGTTAATTGCAATTAAATGAAAACAAATTATAGCTTAAATTTATATCAAAATGTAATTAGCTTAACATTTTTGAGTAGAACTGAAGCTTTAAAATTATAAATAAGTACGTTACGTGTGTATTTAGTATGTTAGTATCAAAATAAGTGTACTTTACAGCATGACAAAAGATTATTAAAACAACTATTTAAAATAAAACTTGATTAAAAGTGTACTTATGTGTGTTAAGAACCATCATTTCATTAATATTATCTGCAACAGTTGTTCAAAAATATGCTTTTAAGATTTGAAGTACACTACAAGTGCACATTCATTACAGCTAGGTGCACTTCTTTTTCACAAGGGAAGCATTTTTTATATAGTAAAAACACACACAGTGCAAAATTACATACCCACATGTGAAAAGTAATATTCACTCTATGAAAATGATGGTCACAGATAATCACAGTAATTTTATGTTTTCCTTTCCAGGGATTGTGTCCATGAACTTCTCGGACATGTACCGATATTGGCTGACAGAACATTTGCACAGTTTTCTCAGGTAAAAATGTCAATGTACATATCTCATATTTCCTTACATATTCAATCTATATTGTGAAATCTGTTCTCTCAGAACATTGGTCTGGCCTCTCTTGGAGCTTCTGATGAAGATATTGAGAAACTGTCAACAGTGAGTACAAAACATCTTTATCAAACAAGCTTTATCAAACTCTGCTCTACTAAAAGCACTGGATGTGTTTGTTGTGCTGTATGTTTTCAGCTGTACTGGTTCACGGTGGAGTTTGGACTGTGCAAGCAGGGAGGGGCGGTCAAAGCGTACGGAGCAGGACTGCTCTCATCTTATGGCGAGCTGGTGGTAGGCGGCAGTCTGTCATTTATTAAATAAAAAAAAAAATGTTTTGCTGTTTTTTAGCACTTGCACTTGACATTTAATGTCACCCATTTTCTTAGCATTCTCTCTCAGATGAGCCAGATCGACGAGAATTTGACCCGGACACTGTAGCTGTTCAGCCGTACCAGGATCAGACTTACCAGCCCGTCTATTTTGTGTCTGAGAGCTTTTCAGATGCTACAGAGAAACTGAGGTGAGCTGCATCAAATACTCTATTGCTGTGAGTACTGTGTGTTTGGCCATCAGATAATTAGCTATCAGTGAAAATAAATAAATAAAAAAAGTGTTTCTAAATAAATGCATTTATAAATAAATAAATATAAAAAAACGAATAAAACACATTGACAAGGATTAAAACACTCACTTATGATAATTATTTACAATTAAATAATCACAACTGTATTTTTTGAAAGTGCTAAAATAAAAATGTATGAGGATAAAAACATATACAACACAATTATATTCTCAGAATGAATTAATGAATGAATTTATTTATTAAACTTATAATACCATAGAATTGCATATTCTCATAATGAATGAATAAATGAAAATAATAAAAATTATTCTTAAAAATTTGAGTCAAAACATATGATAAGGATTAAAATACATCATGGCTTCTATATATATATATATATATATAGCTGCTAGAATAAAAAATAAAAATAAAAAGGTACTGTTAGCAATTTTGTATAATGTATGTATGATGATTAAAACATACAGCACACAGTTGTTCTCAGACTGAATTAATTCATACATTTATTTATTTATTTATTCATAAAATAAAAGGTGCTAAAATGACTAAAAAGGTACTGTAAGCTATTTTATATAATGGATGTATGACAAAAACATATAAATGTGTACAATTACATTCTCAGAACAGATACGATTGTGTCTAAACAAATGAAAAAACTATAAAAATATATACAAAATAAACAAATGCTCGCCAATAAAATAAATGCATTAGCATTTTAGTTTTTCATTATTATTTTTTATTTATTTGATGCATAACATGTTTGTAATATTTTTTTGGTTAAAATATGCAAGAATATGCAGGGGCAATTGTCATTTTTCTGATTAATTTGAAATAGTCTTGTAGTGAGACAAAATATTATTTAATTATTAATTCCATGTAGTCTTTAAATTAATACTAATTGCTTTTATTTAAAATAGTTTTGGAATGCATAAAGCATGTCACACCATAGGTCTACATAACTACCTATGTATTTATTTATTTACTAACTCATATTACTCTATTAACATTTTCAGTATGTATTTCACAAAGATTAAAATACGCCTTACAAATACAGCAAGTAGTGATTAATAAATGGTTTTTATTGTATACATATTGTTTTAATTGTTTGCAATTGAATAATTACAGTTGTTTGTATGACAATAATTATATACTCATTTGTTTTTAAAACAGAGCATATGTGACCCGCATCATGAGACCATTTTCGGTGCGGTTTGACCCGTACACAGCCAGCATAGAAGTGCTGGACAACCCACTGAAGATCCAGCAGGGGCTGGAGACCATTAAAGACGAACTGAAGATTCTCACAGATGCCCTGAATGTGTTGGCTTGATTCTGCCGCGAGGAGCCAATCAGCAGTCCCATTCCTCTCTGCTTCATATGTGACAGTCTCATCGATATGCTGTGTGTCTATGTCCACATCTGCTGCTACAGACATTGTTGCTTTTAAAACGCTGAGTGCCAACCTCAAAACCTCACGTCGGAAGTTGATTCCAGAAACCTTAAAAGGACTGTTCCCCCCAAAATGAAAATCATGTTATCATTTATATCATTATCTATGTTGTTTCAAACCTAAATGACTTCCCATTGGAAGTCATATATTGGAAGTCAATGGTAACCAAAACTGCTTGGTTACCAATATTCTTCAAAATATCTTTCGTCATGTTCCACGGATGAAAGAAAGTCTTTGGTAAAAATAATAAATGTTGGAAACCAAACAGTTGCGGTTACCATTGACTTTCATTGTATAGACAAAAAATATGGTGAAAGTCAATGTAAGCCGAAACTGTTTGGTTTCCAACATTTTTCTAAATATATTCTTGATAGATATTTTAAATGCTGGTAACCAAACAATTCCGGTTCACATGCATTGACTTGAAACGGTTTAGTTGCCAAAGTTCTTCAAAATTTATACCAAGAAAATATTTTAAATGTTGGTAACCAAACAGTTTTTATTCTCACTGATTTCCACCAAATGGAAAAAAAAAAAAAAAAGAGTCAATGGGAACCAAAACCTTTGGTTGCAAACATTCTTCAAAATATCTTCTTGGTAGATATTTTAAATATCGGTATTAAATATTCCCATTGACTTCCATTATATGGGCTAAATAAATAAATAAATAAAAAGTCAGTGGGTACTGAAACGGTTTGGTTGCCAACAGTCTTCAAAATGTCTTCTTAGTATATATTTTAAATGTTGGTAACCAAACAGTTTTGGTTCCATTAACTTCCACTTTATGGACAAAAAATAAATAAAAAAATGGAAGTCAATGGAAACCAAAACTGTTTGGTTACCAACATTCTTCAAAATATCTTCTTTCATGTTCCACAGAAGAAAGAAAGTCATACAGGTTTGGAATGAACATGAGGGTGAGCAAATAATGACATGTGGATGACTCTGTGAATAAACAGAGATTATGTCAATATGACATATTCATTTTTTGAGATAGATTATACCCAGTGTAAATCAAGTTATTAAAGCTATTGAAGCCAAAAGTTATTTATGAAATATCACAAAATGAAGTACTACACTAAAATAAACTTGAAATATGTACAGTATAATCAAATATGTATTATCAATACACATTCTGAATGTATTAGTATTCAAAATATATTCTAAAAATAGACCATCAATACATAGTGTAAATCAAGTTATTAAAGCTATTGAAGCCAAAAGTTATTTATGAAATATCACAAAATGAAGTACTACACTAACATAAACTTGAAATATGTACAGTATAATCAAATATGTATTATCAATACACATTCTGAATGTATTAGTATTCGAAATATATTCTAAAAATAGACCATCAATACACTGAGCTGATGTATTCTCCTACAGATAGCAGAAATATTTTATTAATACTGAATGGCGAATCATTCATAAAATAGTTCTGGCCTAATGATTGGTGCCTGTTTATATTTATCTGTCTCCAGAAAATATGAAATATAAATATGAATGTTGCAACAGTCTCTGCAAACAATTGCATAAAAAGTGAAAATACCATTTCTACTAAGTTGCAAGAAAACTGTGTGCAAAGTGGATATTATGTGCTACTATAAAGAATTATGTTTGAAAAATATCGCAAACTATACTTGTGGTTGACTTTCTGACGTTATATTCAGTCGCCCCTTCCATAAATGCCTTTTACAGTCTGAGAATGTTGGTTTCAGAAAACTGAAGACAATCTGAATGAACTGATCTGACTGAAACTACAAAAGGTTTATTTGAGATAAAACAGCCACCACCAGATGGTAGTCTAAGCATGTATGTAGGTGAGGCGTTCAACACGAGCACTTTTTGGGTGAGTGGACCGGACAGCATAATGACTAGGGCTCTTGTAAGGGTCATGTCATGAGCTTAGGAATGGGATAAGGACTCAGATTTTGGATCCAGTCAGTGGGAAAGATCTGCCATTCGAATACGCAACCGACCACTAAATGCATTTTACGAAGACGGGAAGAATCCCACAGTGGAATGCGTCATGTAGTAAATCAGTAGGTGTAGGATATTCCTCTAACTAAGACTGAGATATTCCTGAAGATTGTAGTTTTCATAATTTTGACCATTAAATTGAGGTCACTGAGTTTAAAACAAAAAGCCATTCATGCTAAATATTAGATATTGCTGACTGTAGCCTACATAAAGTCTCCTGAGCTTTTGATCGATGACCTGTAATGATTTGTGCTGGACTGCTTGGTCCTGTATCACGCGCAGTTCTATCCATTATTGTGCATGGCAATGTGACTAAGATGAAATATGATTGATTGAAGATAAATGATTTATTGCAAGGCCCTACAGATCTTTTGGGGTTCCTGCTTCCCTCATCTGATGGATAACAGGAGACAGAGGAAGAGAGGTTTAATGTCTTTATAATGGTGCTTCCAGTAACAGAGTGCATTGATAATTCATGCCAGCAGCAGGATCCTTTTTTTTAATGCAGCGCTATTCGCGCTTTCACCAGCAGAGGCGCCACAGGAGCAATGCTTTTCTCCAGTTCTCTTAATTTCTCACAGACTTCACGATATTTAGCAGCGTTTTGAATATTTAAACACGTTTTATTTGCATTTCACAATACAACCTTTCTGAACGCTGACCTGCACGTTTTGTCAGCCATTCTCGTGTTTGGCTTATTTAACTACGTGGCCTACTTATTAACTTCTTGGCTTATTTAGCAGTTTTAACTTAAAAATGGAAAATTAAGATTTCTAGTCCTAAAATGAGTTTTCATCGAATATTCATTGGCCTATCCGAGCACGTACACTGTAAAAAATAAGTGTAATTTTAACTGTAAAATTTTGTAAAAACGCTACGGAAAAAAACTGTTCATAGA